CTTTGGTCATTTTTGAGCGAGATGCTAACGGTCTAATCAGATTCAATGATCTATGCTAAGCTACAGCTAAAAGTGCTACCGCCAGACCCGGAGATCGGCTGAATGGATTCGAAAACGGTAAAACTCAACTGTTTATCTCTAGGGGAATTGGAAAATGAGCCTATTTTCAAAAATAGTGGAGTGTTCATTTAAGACCCAAATTTACATTGCCACCTAACTTACCTTGCTGCTTTCAACATTTTTACACTACATGCAATCAGCTTCTTTTCTTGTGATGTTGGGGTTGATTGCTATGGTACTGTGTTTCCCTCAGGGCCAGCAGCCATGGAATCTAAGCCCCAGGAATCTTTTCCCTTTATAATGTTTAACTAAAAAAACTAGGTTGTATTGTGAGGACAAGTAGTCTACAGAGAAAGCCTTAAGGAGATGGACATGCACCTACATGTCATTACATATTAGCAGAGGAATTTCACAACAATTCGAGACGAAATGTGCATTAACAGTAGCTGACTGATATTTAGAACAACAACAGACAGGGTCTTTCCATTATGACGCTCTAATAATGTACTAATCATTCCATGCAATAAAATCCATTAATGTACACTGTACAAACAGCAGTCTATGGTTTCTATGTAAGCTGTATTCTGCCTGCACATTCCTCAGACACCTTGAATGAGGGGCTCCTCTGGACCAGATCTATCAGTTGAGGAAATGATGCTTAAAAAGAATTCTTTACATTCTCTTTACATGCCTGTTGTCTTTCACCAATCGTTTCCATGAGCATTCAGTATGCTAGCTAAATATGATGAATGAAGAGAGTAGCATTGGTCATCAAGGAATTCTGCAGCACAGAGTATTGAAGAGCTCAGGTTTAACAGCTTGACACATGCACACAGTTTTTACCTAAAATATGTATTTGAAACATGGTGAATTTGTTCATAAAAATAGCCCTTAAAGTCTATATGAAAGCATATCAAGCCTGTTTGATTGATTAGGTTGTGAATGCCATTGCATGTTGACTTTAAATGAAATTTCTTAGCCACTAGCAGCATTAAACAGAATTGTTGTTTCTCAACCAACCAGAAGTTGACATGTTGGACCACTGAAACAACCAACCATTTTACTTCTGTAATATGACGTGCTTCAAAGTGAAACGGGATATTCGATGAAAAAAAAAAAAACACGTTGGGCGAAACTTGATTTTATCCATCTGGAATTGATTGGATCATGAAAAGTGGTCTCTAAATGACAGGAGGCTGGAGTTGGAGGAGTTGAAAAATAAGAGAGCTTGATGACATCAGCCAAAAAAGAAAGTAATTTTAGAGCCAAAGCAAGATGTTACATTTTGATTAAATATTACAGAGACAAACTTTTTTCTTTGGAATGGCTTTGCACCAATGAATCTATACTTTCTATGATGAGAGAGTAAATATGTATGGTTAAAGGCTCTTGTGTGTGTCAGGGTGTAGTGAAGGTTGTACCTTCAGATGATTCAAAGAAAACTAACACTAGAAGGTGACTCCGCAGTTGTCTGAGGTGCGAGACCTGAGACTGTCCCGCTCCACAGATGCAGTGTCAGCCTCCACATCCCAAACCACTAATGATGCCTAAAATGAAAATACCACAAGGGCCCTGAAAAGGTTGGCAGGGGAGTCTGACTGTAATGCGTTAATGTTAACTGGATGGAATCTACATCTTAAACACAAAGACATATTCACTACACAAGGAATATATTTTATGAGAAGAGCCCCACAACCCAGTTCCCAGCCTAGTTGTCCTCACCTTTACTTACTGCATGGTATTCACAAGAGTTAGAATGGTGGCAGGAAGCTAACACTGATTAATTTTGTTATAGGGTCTTTGCGTATATTCAAAGACAGAAAGAAGCCATTATGTTGAGCTTCACACGAGTCTACATGCTGTGTGTAAACAGATTTGTACAGTACATCATCATAAAATAAGAAATAGTTATGTTGAAGAGCTGTTTTATTTGCAATAATTAAATCAAAACTAAAAAAAACTTGGAACACCTTCAATACAATATTCGTTGCTTTGCATAACAGGAAATTTTGAAATAGAAATTCTGAAATAGTACTTTCTTGTACAACTTAGTCCAACGTAGTTTTGTTTTCGTTATAACTTTGCAAAAAGAATTTTTAATAGTGTAAGAGCTGATGTGCAAATGCTATTAAAAATGATTTAAAAAAAAATCAAAAAGTAATTGTTCTAAAAGTTGTAGCATATCAGTAAATGCATAGAATTATGAGAACAAATTCTGAATTTTATTTGATTTTTTTCTTACTAAAATCACAACACATTTCATTAAAGGGTAACTGAAAGACATTTTTTCTTATGTTTTCTGTGACATTAGCACAGAAAAATATAAATCATTTTAAGTGGGTGCTCAAAATGAGATTTCAACTTTTCACTGGTCAATCACTCCTGTGCATATGCTCAAATCTGCAGTTATTCTGATAATTTACAGATGTATGTTCAGGCACATCTGATCTGGAAAAACACAAGTATAAATCCACGGATGTGGATGCACTGTGTGTGAAGGAGTGAATTTGTCTTACACACCTATCTAACCATATTCACTAATCATGACATGGCTTTACACATCAGTGCAAATGGCCTGTCAATCATCTTCTTCAGCTGTCTTTTTTTTTTTTGTAAATCTCCATGCATACCTAACAGAAACATAAACATGCATGTCTCTATGAGCGAATTCTTTCCATTAAATTCCACTCATTGAAACTGGTGTGAACATATATTGCAAACAAATGTGTGAAAAGTGAAGTTTTGCTACTGTCCCCTTAACATTTTATTAAATGGTCTTTTTATACCGTGCACTAACTCAATTTCCTCTGTACAAAAACCATCCATTTGTACAGCTGTTTTCCATTACTTTAATTATTTTTAAATTCTTACGAACAGTGCAATGTGGTATAGTGATGGTTCTTCATTTTTTTTTAATCTAACAGTTTTGATTAATTGCACTGTGCATAGTTATGAAGTAAGTCTATTACAGTACACATCACATGGTAATAACAGTAACATATGGCACAGATTTGGTTGTATATCCTTGAATGTGTGCTCGTTAAAACAACAACCGTTGTATAAGCAGGTTTGGACTCTGAAATGACTTAACGAAACAGACTTGTTTAGAACATGCTTGATGATGCATTTAGTGTGAATCTCTGGTTAAACTGCTTTCATTCAAAAGGTTGTGAGAGATGATCTTTCCAAGCAGCACAACACGGTCTGCTGTCCAGGCCTGTGCTTGAATGTAAGGTAGGTGGCTGGTTAGGATAAATGGCTCTTCCAGTGCATTTGATGGGATTCGGGAATTCATTATAACAGGTGTTTGGAGGGGAGGGGTTAATGAGGGGGATTTATGTCGTCAGATGAAAAAGAGACATAGGCTTAAAGGAATTATGGAATCTTGCCATTTAATCTTTTAAAATCCAGTTCTTTAATTTGTGAGGTCGAACTCCCCATCATCTGGTGTCAATGTCATTGCCTCGTGTTTGCTCAGGTAGATCCTCAGTAATGCCATTTCACCCTGTACCTGTGTCATGATCCAGCCGACCAGGCAGCTTGGCAAACAGAAACGTGGCAAAAGGTTCCAGTAGCCCACCTGTTGCTACTGTGATCCTTGTGATGAAAAGGTCCATATTGTTGCCACATTCAAGGGCTGTCATTTCAAGCATGTCAATGGCTCCATCCAGGTGTGCCCAAGAGTGAGCTGGAACCAGCCCAACAGATCCCTATCTCACTAACAATTCGCTGCCAAAACAAAGATCTGTAAGTTGTAATGATACCAATATTTGTGTGTCATCTGTGCTATTTATGTTATGTTAATGACACATCATTCTTTTGCATGTCAATATCTCCTTGAAGGCAGAGCAGATTAGCTCTATAGTGTGGTGTACAGTATGTTGTCTTCACTGCTCATCAATAAAAAGCATTCAAAGAAGAATAGACAACCTTTTCTCCTCTGCTCTTGCCAAAACAAATCTCTCATCTTGATTTTTAACTTCCTTGCTTATTAAAAGATTCATCTAGATCTTGCGAAACTAGTAAAGAACTTGTGCCAGTATGTCCTCTCAGAAATGTATAAAAGAAATCATGGCACTGCTGGGCAAGTGTTAAAAGGATTGTTCACCCAAATTAAAATTCTGTCATCATTTACTCACCCCATGTTGTTCCAAACCTGCATGCGTTTCTTTCTTCTGTTGAACATAAAAGAAGATGTTTTGAAAAATGTTGCTGGTCCCCATCACTCTAAAAAAATGCTGGGTTAAATACAACCCAGTGCTGGGTAAAATAGGGACAAACCCAGCAATTGGGCTGTTTTGACCCAGTGGTGGTAGTAACCCAACCGCTGGGTCAAAACAACCCAATTGCTGGGTTTGTCCTTATTTTACCCAGCACTGGGTTGTATTTAACCCAGTATTTTTTAGAGTGTACAGACTTCCATAGTATGGGGGGAAATACTGTGGAAGTCACTGGGGACCAGCAACATTTTTCAAAATATCTTGTTTTGTGTTTAACAGAAGAAAGAAACTCATGCAGGATTGGAACAACTTGAGGACAATGATGACAGAATTTTCAATTTTTGGGTGAGCTACCTCAAATTTAACATAATGGAACATGAATAATGGGGAAAAAATCATATGCTGGTTGAGCATGCTCACTATCTTTCATCAGCTCGAGAGATTTTCTCTGATATTAAAACGTTTAATTAAAACTTATTCCATTTCAGAAACATCACGATTATTATTGCACATGCTTAGACACAATCTATTAGCCTTCCTATTTCAGCAAACGTAAATAATTAAGCCAGACTCCCCCCGACTCTCTCTCTCTCCCTCTCTCTCTCTTCTGTTCTGTTCTGTTCTGTTCTAAACAAAGTGAATGGGAGGGGCGCAGAAATCATCGGAGTGTATAAGAAGTGCGGTTCTCACAAGCAGGGATTTTACACAGCAACTCAGGACGAACGAAATGAGCTGCCCCAGAGCCGCTACAAAATGCTGGATGGACACCTTCTCCTGGGATGGTTATCATTTACCATTATAGTGCATCTAATCAGCTTGCCTGGACCGAGCACAGCTTACTTCGGGTAGGCAGAGGAACTCTTCCTCACTCTTTAAATGCTTTTTAAGCTTCAAGTTTGTAATGCATAGACTAAAGATAGATACGAAATTATAAATCAAAGATCATAAAATAGACAACGCGTTATGTAAACTTCGCTTTCCATAACAACCTGTGGAGTTGCGATTCAGTGTGAGTGATGTTCTCATTATAGCAACATGTTTGCACGAAGTCTCCGGTTAATAACTTGCTTGCAAGTTCAATAAATATGTCCTTATTTACCAGTTAATTAAATAGTGCATATCGGGACATTCATTCAATAGCGTGTTTTGAATGGCAGGTACTAGCCGGTCAGGTTTGTCTTTCTCATAGATGCTCGTAGAAGAAAGAAAACAGACACGAGCAGCTCTCAACAGCTGTTAACAATAAAAGTTACGGAGATCTCTAACCTGGTGGCCAAAACGTCTGTTCAGATCGCAGATAATATTTCTTCATACAGCATAAACACTCGTTCTGGCACCCCCATTGCTTGCTCACAGGAGTTTAATAAGCGCAAGTTCAAGAATGTGTGTTGAATTTACAGTTTCCCCAGTTCCCCCTATAAACATTCTCCTAGCATAATTTTAATTGAGGTAATTGTGATACCGCGGGAACGCCTTTGGAATATGTTCCTCTATGACGCGTGCTGCTTATTGATATTCTTCCATTATGCGCCTTCATGTTTCGAGAAACATGTGTTTAACTCGTCTTTAAATCATTGTCATTTGTATCAACAAGTTTGAAACCAAGTTTGGAGGGTAAAAGTAGATAGGTTGACTGGTATGAAAGTCTTTTACATACAGACTAAATGACTACATGCAATCCGAAAGTATTGGACATAATCCATGGACAGGTGTGGGTTACAGAGTTCTATCCCAGAACAGTTTTCACCATCAACAGCTGTTCAGAAGTTCATGCCACTGTTTCATTATTTCTCTTGGCTCTACAGTGATGGAAGATTCTATGTAAAAAGGTGTGCTAAGGAGAGGATATTGTTAGGGCAAATCAAGGGCCAGGGCGGGAGTGGCTCCCTCAGGCCCCATTGAACATTATGAAGCAGTAAACCGGTTTGTTGGGCTGCAGTGGTTGTAGACTGGGTCTAAGCCTATTCTACCCCCTCTTAGGAAGTCAATAAATTTAATAAATGCTGGCCTGTGTTCGCATGGGTGGGACAGTACTTCATATAAAGATTTATAGTCTCCATTATTTGATCTGAAAGATTGTTATCAATTGGAATTAGCCTCTTAAGAATATTTTCCCCTTGTTTTTTGGCACATTTAATGGAAAACGATAAACTACAATGTGTGATAATGAGCAGATATGCAGTGTCAAGTGGCTATGTCTAATAAATGTCTGGATATTTTTAACATTCAATTTGTCATGCGTATGTGAGGCTAACTAGCCATTGTTTAGAAGTACTCAAACTTTGCCAGTTTCAGCACTTTGTCTACTTTGACGGAAACCACTTGTACTTCCATGTTACCGGGTCATGAAAACAAACTATATGGAACTCATTAGTGATATATTTCACTATGGCATTATGGGTGTTCTTTCTTATCTCACACAATGAGTGTTAATTTTGAACGCTGATATGGGTAAGACTTTTTGTTGAACTCTACAGTCAAGGGGCTACTTTTCAAGACAAGGACACAATCACAAATCAAACAAGTCATTTCAACCTTGTGCAAGCAACAGCATGAAACTATTACCTTCTGATATGTTGTCACACTTGCTTCCACTAACGTGCAAATAAATACCTTCCATGAGGTGAATGCATCTTCTGGCCACTGATTTACTTAAATAGAGGGTCAATGTTGCATACCCAATTTCCCCAGTGCGGTGGAGCGTATGTGAAACCTAAACACAGTCTCTGTTAGACCTCAGTCTGTGTCTCTGAGGGTTGGGTGGGATTCCTTGCCTAGTTGAGCCGCTGCTGAAATTGTCACCCTGGCCACAAGAATGCAAAGCCTTAGTTTTTACCACCCGTCCCCTCCAGTCTGTAGTGACAGGTGCCCAACAGCAGTCTCAGGGAGACCAGGTTCGGTTGGTTGGGGACAAAATGGTGGTAGAACAATACAGCAATATGGAGGCTGCACACTTTTTGTCTAGGTGTAGAGCTCACCTCAAACAGCCTGAGGGACGAAAGGGGAAGAGGTTACATGCTGGGAAGACATGGGGAAAATAAGCCCTGAATATCCATGGAATGAGATTCTTTTGTACCTGGCTTTGACAAGTTTACGCAGATCTCCTGAGGAAGCCAGCCTGGGGTCACATGTGGGGGACTGCTGTCCTAAAAGTAAACCTGAATTGAAATGAGGGTAAATATTTAAGACTTATATGTGAGATTGCCACCTAAATTATAATTCTAGAGATGTAAAGTACGATGTGCTTACGTTTGAAAAGCCCAAAACTCAACAATAAGTTATGATGGATGTCTTGTTATTTACAAGGAAGACTGGTGAAATGCACTTGAGCTATTAACAAGGAACTATTCAATTGAAAATCTTTATCAGTTCATAAGGTTAAAGTGTCAGACACTTTCCTTTAGCAATTTCTTTAACATCAGCTGTTACTCACATGTTTCAAAATCCTGTGTTGAAGATGTTGACTGCAACAACATGCATGCGTATGTGCATTATTATAACCCTGTGATAAAGGCTCAACCAGTTTTGGTTCAGGTGTAGTTCTGTCCCCTAGAACCCAGTCAGAACAGGCCCAAGGCTTCCACAGTATTTCTATAGGAAGTACTGTGCTTCTATCCCTCAGACTCTGTAATTCATCTGTCATTTATTCTGATTTAGTTGTACTAAATAACGAGTCATGTTTTGTCACAACCTGTCCATCATTAGGTGCAGCAGTACTTGCAGTGCCTGATGTTTCCACCAGGGGGTAGAGTCACTTCTGTAAAAGCGCCTTGCTCTTCAATCATCATCTGCTTCTTTATGAAATCTTAGCACAGTGGGAAATGAGTGGCAAAAACAGATATAAGCGCAGAGAGCTGTGTGACCAGGATACAGGGAGAAGGTCAACAGAGCAGCAGTTTTATTCAAAGGTAGTTGTGGTCAGTTTGATCTGTTGGCGATGGCATGTTTTGGCCACGACTCTCAGGAAAGCCCCAGTTTGCTGCATAAGACTTCAGATTAAATCTCCCGACTAGACTTGGGCTTGGGAATGTTGATGAGAGTGGCTGCCTGAGCTGCGGTGGATCGCCTTTCAGTGCCAGAGAATAGCAGTGTCTGCAACTGAAGATCCTCACATGCGACCACTTCCTATACACACCCACAGACATTTTATTGAATCATATGCATGTTTTCTTTACATAAAACTTAAAATGTGTTTCACTTAAAATTTGTTTCACTTTTCTAAAGGTACAACTCCACCGAACTGTGTATCATTGCTGGACAGCTTAACATAGTGTAATGTTTCTACTATAAACACACTTAAGATTATGAACATTTCTTTGGCTTTCATGACATTTCAAGTAACCACTTGAAAAACATAAATCCATGTCTCTATATTTCTACCGGTTTGTTTTTCCTCAATGGCTTTCTCGACAAGCTGTGAGAATGGCTTCTCCCGCAGGAGTCATCCCAACCCTGCCTTGATTATATGGTATTATTGCTCTGGGGAATGTCTTTAAATGTGTTTGGCACACTTGCATCCAAATGGCTCAATATTCTGGTAGTACGGCTCCGACCACAGTTTGGAGGTCTGCCTTGATTTTTTAAGAGAGGGCAGGTCCGCTCCTGCCTAACCCAGTCAGTGGTGTGTTTTGTAGATATGTAGGCTGTTGTTGGGAATGCAGTGATGGGCATCATCAGACAGGAGCAAATAGCCAGGCAAAACCGGAAAGCCAATATGGAATCTTGATAGGTTTTGGTGGTCAAGGATTGATGAAATGATGTTAATTAGTGGCACTACCATGTCATGTGTTTTCCGTCTCTCACCACAGGCTGTTTTCCGCCACAAAGGGCTTTGGGTGGACTCTGGGCCAAAATGATCAGTGACTACAGCCAAGATTAGATGACTGAAAAACCATAAGATGACTGTAAAAACCCTGAGCTATGAACCATACATGCACATTTATTACACGGACTGGGCGTTGATGTCAAAACAGTAGGCAAGACAAACCAAGAATGTACCTTGAGTTCATGCTTTTTCCGTTTTATTGCATCAAACTAGGAGTTTTTAATTAAAGCTGCTTTTCTTTTCTTTTCATTTAGACTGTTACCGCTGCGCTGCCTGTATAATGTGAACAAACAAACAAAAACCACAGATTAATGTCTCAATAGATGGTTTTGGCTAGGGTAGGTTATGCGCATGAATCAGTCTTCAGACTTCAGGCTTTAAGACTGAACTAGGGAACAATATACTGCTAAATTATTTGGTAGCAAATATATGATTTGAATAAATATATAATAGATGTTTTTGGCTATGGTAACCACAAATTCAAGCACTTCAACTGGTTCCTCTAGGCATCAGTAGTAGTACTTGTACACTTAGATTTCACGAGAGTCTCTAATATGTAGAATAAGATATATAATCTCTGTCAGCAGCAAATATAAATAACCAACTAATATAGCTTGAATTTTAAGATGAATTGGTTCTGTAAAAGGCATTTTGGTCTTTGGTTCCTCAAGGCACCAGCTTTAGTACTCGTAGCTGTAGTATAAGGTACACTTAGGCTTTACGAGAGTCTCTAATATGTAGAAAAAGCTATATAATTTCTGTCATCAGCAAATATAAATAACTGTAACTAATATAGCTGTCAATTTAAGATTAATTGGTTCCATAAAAGACATTTTGGTCTTCTATTTGGAATGAAGATGATCAATGTATCAGTGTGCCCATAGAATCAGTGTCATAGATGCCGTGTCATTATATTGTCACACAGCTTACAATAAGAACCATAAATGCTACGTTACTGATCCCTGCAGTCAAAGCATGTTAGGATTCCCAACTTCTCAAGTCCATTTTTATGCTTTTATG